CACGGAATTGTGGTTCGTACTGTACTAAATTGAGTTGCTGGCCCAGCAGCAGGAATTGTAAAAGGTTCGTACTGGAGGTCTACACCACTAATCCGTCAATACTTCATGGCTCCCTCAGAATGAGATCGGTACACTAGTTCACTAGTGTCACTGGCCTTGACAGAACAGACTATTCCTGATTTGAAAACGTACCAAAGCGGCCTGCAGTGAAGGTGCTACAAATCACACACCTATCGCCCAGAATGAAAGATGTTTGGAAGATACTGGTATACAACCACAGTATGAATATGGCGAAAACACTTTCGGTTGTTGACCATCTTGTTCCATGGGTGCATGATTCCTATTTGCAAAATTCCTTCTCAGCCCGATCTACGGAGTAGTCAACGTGAAGTCCGATCAACATGGCCCTGGAACATGTCTATCGATGGGTCGCTCCCGAGAAAAGCTTGGGGGTGCCTCATGCCAATCTACGGAAAGTCCTACCGGCACATCCGGGGTTGGGCGTGATACTCACCCGTCAAGATCATGCATATGATACCGTTTTCAACGACAAAGAGAATCAGACAGCGAGAATATGCAACCAACACAACCCTTGATCAGGGCATTGAAATGGTGTCTCATTGTTGATTGGTATGCGAAGCTTGTATGATTCTTCTTTGGTAAAAACCTCCAGTGCATCTTCGGATTGATATACAGGACTTGGAGGTCTTGCGAAGAGTATAGCGGGCAGCGCGCCATCCGAGCAGACATGACTACCGGTAGGGTCGAGGGCGTGCATGACTGAAGTCGCATCATATTCTTTGATATGCTGTCCCAACAGTCCAGACTAATCTTACATTCCAAAACCAGGCTAGCATCGGCGATGGAAGGGGAATATATGAGTATATTTATACTTAGTAGGGTTGAGGTCCAAATGCGGTGTGGTTCAGAGTCCCAACTTGAAAAGGGCCGTGGAGAAGTGTGGAATCATTTGAGATGAGAAAAGGAATCTACTGAGTAGTGCCGGCAATGGCGACTCCGCTGTTACTTTTTACGGAAACAGACACGTCAGGCACCATCACGTGATCTGGCTGCTGTCGTCACCGGCCCCCGGGCTGGAAGCCGCCCTTGAATTATCATCGACCATCAATGAACTTTTGGGAAATGAGCTGATCCATTCAGCAGATCTCGTTTCAAGTCTCGGCCGCATTTGCGATCCATAGTACGGAGTAACTACTGAGTACTTAGACTACTGTACGTACGTACGTACTTACTCATAGTACTCCGTAACTACGGGCAGTTTCTACTTCTTCCCTTCCTGGTCACTTTTGCTTCTTCTATTTCTTCCCAATTCTCTCCATCCCTCCTTCCCTTACTCCTTCCTCTCTCCCCCCTCGTTTATACTCATACTCATTCTCATCCACGTCGCACTCTTGTGTTTCTACCCCTCGATTCTCGATCGCTAGTCTCTTTTAAGCTCACCTGCAATGCTTTATTGATTGATCGTCCTCTCCTCCCGAGACCCTGCTCTACTTGCCTTTTTACCCTCCGCCGGATGTACTGACATCCCCTCCCCCCCTCTCCTCCCCCCAATCATCGCCATGGTTCTCGCCACGCCTGTGCCCGTAGGGTCTAGTGTTTTCTTCTCGCTGGCCCTTCTCACAATCTCTATCCTTGTTTTACTTCTTCTCCGGCGCTTTCTCACTTTGCGCGCAACCCCGGCTTATCTTTCCATTCCCGTCTTTCTTGCGCTCGCGCTTCCTGCCAGTGTAGTTCTGTTGGTTCCTATCGACCTGGCGTCAAGTTCGCGTGATGGATCAGGTCCCGCAGCCATCTGGCTTCCTGACCGCCTACTTCTAGTCTCGTGGCGCATCACCTATTGGCTGATATTTGTACTGACATGGTACGTATAAGTCGTGTCGTTTGTCAGCCAATTTTGGCTGTTCTGAACTAATATAATGGAGATGCTGATCGGACTTTTCCCTCCTTACAGGGCTATCCTCCCGCTTCTCGGAGAATATATAGATTCTGGATATCGTGAACCGAAGGCTCGTATTCAGTACTCTATCCGGTCGAATGCGCGCTATCAACTCATCGTGCTGTGCTGTGCGATCGTTGGATTGGTCTACATCTCCATCCAGAATGGGTTCGAATTTACTTCAATCAAGGCGCTCGTTATGGCTCTTGCTTACGTCTGGGGTCTCGTACTGGCGATCTACCTAATGGGCCATGGTCTCGTCTCGATCCCTCGCACACTATTCCGCAACGCCGATGTCAGCGGCAGACTCCGGAGAATTCACGCCCATGCCCCTCGGTTGCACGACCGCTTAATGGATGCAATCAATGATTTGGAGAGTCTCGAGAGTCAGGTCTCTCAACTGCAGCGCCGGAAAACAGGGACCGCCCTCGACTTTCAGGATTGGATTGACGAGCTGGCAGAGACTTGCAGTCCTTCTGAACCACGATCAACGTTGCTGGACCATGCAGATGGATCTGAAACAATCCCCGCCGTCATTACCGAACGCTATTTGGCAGATTTGACAAGACGTCTTCAGCGTGCTCGGCATCAAAAGGCTCGTTTCATCGACGAGTGGGACCGTCTGGTGCTGTCCGCTGCTGATATGCAAGCCATTATCAATTCGTCCGCATCCAGGAAATTGGAGTTTACTCCGTCACCTTATCGCTCCTCATGGTTGTCGAATGCGAAGGTTCTGAGCCCATACATGCGTTACCAGCTCTATGTGCGCGTGATCCCGAACCTTCGACTTGGACTAGGTGCTCTCTTCACTGCCGCATCCGCTTGCATTGTCTGGTCCGAAGTGATCAAATCTATGGCGCCTCGGCTGTCGGTAGTGACCCTTTCCATTGTATCCTATCATCAGGATCCTGCGCCAGTGAACTTTGGTCGTCAAGTTATTGCTTCTGCTTGGTTGCTGTACATGTGCTCCGCAGCCTTGGTGGGCGTGAACGACGCCAAAGTGTGGGGCAATCGTGCCTTGGTCCGTCGGAACACGTATGGGGAGAGCGCATGTTGGTACGCTGGGCTTGTAGCCCGGCTGACTGTACCCATCGCCTACAACTTCCTCACCTTTTTGCCGGTTAGTGCGCGACAGAGCACCGTCTTTTACAAATTCCTGGGGCGGTTAATCGACCTTACACCGCTTGGTAAAGGGTTTGACTACTTTTTCCCGGTCTTCATTTTGCTGCCCATCTGTGCCACTCTCTTTAATCTATATGGTCGAGTGCAAAACATTTGCAGCTGGGGACTTTTGGAGGAAGATGATGATGACCTAGAAAACAATCCCGGTGGCTACGGACTGGGAGGTTGGCGTGAAGGGCGTGACCTCATTGAGCGAGAACTGAACGGCCTCGGCTCATTGGGGCTTTCAGCCCGTAGTAGTCGGTCGCCCCGCCCTTCGAGTCGGGTTGACGAGGAGGTTCCTGCATTCATTTCCTCGCGAACACCCCTAGTTGAGGGTTCCCGGGCACCTCGAGCACCTCGCAGCACTCTCGGGACCTCTGCCTTGGTCGAGGAAGAAGAGGAAGAGAACTTTTTCCAGTCATTCGCGCACCGCATGAAGAACACTCTCGAAACAGCCAGCAAGCCACAGTGGTTGCAGGGTGACTCCTTCCGCCTTCCACGGTGGATGGGAAATGAAGGTAACGATGGCAGCAGTGGTCTCGCGAGATGGTTTGGTGGCCGGCCTGCACCTGGCGGGGTCAGACTTTGAAGACATCTTGAGTACGTTCTTCCGCCAGTGAGGAATTGTAATGTAATTATGTAAGATTATAACTGTATATAATATAATTTTTTCCATTGTGAGAACAATGACTTATTGCAGAACAGTAAATCTCCCAGTAACTAGTGGATACAATGATGTCAGTCAACGCAGAGAAAACAGCAACTAGCCCCAATTCCAGCTTCTGCCTAGCACAATTCGGGGGTACCTGGAATTCCATGTATGGATAGGTCGGCCAGCCTTGCAAGAGCACCGGAGAGCACCGGAGGTGACAAAACCATTGTGGCCCCTGAGGCCACTTACTTCTCGGATAGGCTGTGTAATGTTGCTCCGCTCTTCAATTCCATGCCATCTGTGTTCGTCCGACTGTAACATTGACAGAACGCTCGTCTCGTCAAGAATTACCTGAGGGATATCCTAGATGATGCATTTAACATGGCTGGGTCGGATAATTGCTTCTCCCTGCATAACGCCATATGGACAGTACAGTAGTACTATATAGGGCTTGCTATATAACAGGACAGAGTGAGCTGCGGTTGGCCCTTCTACAAGCCGCTGTCCCAGGTTGATGACGTCGCCTAGCATACTAATTTACTGAGTAGGTCAAGATAACTACTTACCCCACTACTGCGGTCGATGTACCGGCTCAAAACTCCTCAGTTGTGGTATCAATACCTCTATGTGTGCTTGGCAGGTGTTTGAAATGGCTAATGCATGTTAATGATAAGCCGATGAGATCTGTCAAAGACATGATTGTGTACTAGGTAGGCATGACAGTCGCATGTCACGTGGGAATGATCTGCTGCTTTTATGCTGCAAGATGAATGCGACGCTCGGTCTGCCTCAGCCATTGGCATTAACTTTGGGGAATGATTGCAAAGCAATTGGTCATTCATTTGGAGACAGATAGTAATCAACTCAGCCTTGTGGTGAGCCTACCCCTCAGGTTTGATGGAAGGAGGGGCTTTGGCGGGCATGCAATATGCTTATACTGTACAGTAAAAGAGAGGAGAGAGAACAGAAATCATAAGACATCACATTGATTCGAAATCGATCGAACATTCGTGACGAACAGACAAGGCGATCTTTCAGCCTTTCAGCCTCCAGGCGGCTGCGGCAAAAAAAACAAAAAGAAAAAAAAAGAGGCTCTCTCCGCCTTCTCTGCCTATTCCGGAGCTAATGGGGGAGAGGCCCAGGGCAAACTTCCAGTGACCTCAACACCCTCGTCATTCCCCCTCCCATTGACCCATTCTTGGCCGACAATCCATGAGCCAGTTGCTATCGCACATATCTCTGTCCTCCCTGGGCGAGACGTGTGCTTCCTACATCGACCACGTCGCCACCAATCTGTCTCCTTCGCTCCAGACTTTACACCATCAACTCACCACCACTCTTTCGTCAGCTCAAGCCTCGTCTCCCTTGCGTTTTCTCACGCCTTGGCCGGAGCCGAACCCGGATCACGCCGCCAGCGATTATACCGCCCCGATTACCTACACTCTTCTCGCGTTTGCGATCGCAATCGTCGTCATGTCTTCCTGGCGCAGTCCCTTCACCTTCTGGCGCCGTTCTCCCAACTACACCAACGTTCAAAACCCTCCCCATGTAACCGACAACGATTTCAGCTACATCACGACGGACGAGATCGTCAACCCGCTCAGACAGCCACAGTATGGACACCAGTACCCCGGTGCCGATGATGCTGAGCCCGACACCATCCTTTTGAAACACCGCAAGAACACCTACGACCTGCACTTCCCTGCTTACTCCATCAATGAGGGCGCCCTCAGTGTGGGTCAGCTGAGACAACGGGCTGCAGAGGTGACGCAGACGCCTGACCCGAAGCGGATCCGACTACTGTACAAAGGAAAACTGTTGGACGACGATTCATTGCCCTGCCGGGCGGAGGGACTCAAGCAGCAGTCAGAGGTCTTGTGCGTGGTCTCAGAGGTGCAGCCCGGGGAGAGCTCGCCAAGTGAGACGTCCGAGGCGGAGGTTGAACTTCCTCCGCGCCAGGACGAACCCCCTCGCAAGCGATCGGGCAAGAACAAAAAGCGCGGGAAGAAGGGCAAGAAGCCGGGCCCTGGTGGCGCAGCAGTCGACCCGGCCACTCTACCACCCCCGGCGCAAGCGGCGCGACCATCCCCCTCGCCCGGCCGTTCAGCCATGCCCTCACCCGCACCTAGCCTCAACTCCTTCCGCACCCCGCTGGATCAAGCCAACGGCCTCTTGTCGTATCTTCATCGGGAATTGCTCCCTCTCTGTGAAGAGTACTTTGCCAATCCCCCGACCGATCCGAAAGCACGCGATTTCGAGCATAAGAAGCTCAGCGAAACCATCCTCGCCCAGGTCATCCTGAAGGCAGACGGGATCGAGATCACGAATGACGAGGACCGTGCTGCTCGTCGCGCGTTGGTCAAGGAGGCACAGGGCTTACTGGCCAAGCTTGACCAGGCACTGAATAACTAAGGTACCCTGGCATTTTATGTACATGACCCCGTTTTTTATCATATCTCACGGAAAAACCATAATACTACTTTTGCTGCATGGAAAGAAGCTTTGAACCTATTTTTTTCTATTCCCCTCTAGCATTTGTTTGATTGCTTTTTTGTTTATTGGCTGTAATTTACACTTCGTTTACTCCAGCTCTGGCTTTGGGATCGGTTCCTTTCTCTGTTGCTTGCTGAGCACCGAGCTTGGGTACGTTGCTTCAATGCATATACAAATGTCACCTGTGGATAGGATTCTGCACGGTGCTGGCGTCGGAGGTTGTCTGGGGTGGGGAACTACCCGATAAGATTCTTGTCACTTAATCCTGCTATTGTTCTTATTATGGATACTCCCAGTGAAAAGTGCCACGTGCACCTAGCTTAACCTTCGAATTCCGCGGCGGACGAAGCAAGAGATGGGACTGAGACGGTCGTATATCGAATGTGTCGGAGACGGAAGGCTGGGACCGACGTAAGGTATGCCGGTGTAGTCGACCGGCATGGAAATTCAACCAGACTGATTGATCATTCGCTGGGTTACGCACAACACATAACTATACCATCCTGTGTACTTTTTTTCCCCATCCAGCTACATATCTGCAATGCCATTCGCTGTGTCTGAGGGTAAGCACCTCGTATCACGGTCAGTGCATGTGTACAGTACATACAGTACTTCAGCCCGGGAGGTGATCAAGTAAGCATGCAGTTGGTTTGGAGACTAGCAGAAACTCTATGCTGAGATCGAACTAAACCGAAATGGAACTTAGATCTCTTCGCTGTCACGGCCTTGAGATTCCCACTCTTCCCCTTCCTCTTGGGGCCTAACGATCTATCACAATTTGGCGATAACTACGTGCTATGCGAGCTTGTCAGCTTGTGCTTTGTGCTTTGTCCCTTTCTCCATCGCGGGCCGACCAGCAGACCGTTGGGGACATTCCAGCCTGACTGGTGGGTGGTCGGAAATGTCAAATCGGACTGATCGACTGTCGGCATGGCAGACAGTCCAGATGAGTTGAAAGAATCTTGTGTTCATTAGGTTGAGATCAGGACCCGTTTATTGGTAGTGAAGCTTTTTTTTTCTTGGTGGCAGAGCCTATCATATGAGTAAGTATCATCAGTGGATACATTCATCTCTAATTCATCTTTGCCGAGAGACACAGGATGATTGGCGCAGCCCACCCAGCAATTGGTTCTAGGCTATGTCTCTCTCTCTCTCCTTCACAAGGAGGGGGAAAGGATAAGAAAGAGATTAAGGTAGAAAATACGGAGTAGTCCCTAATTAATTGCCTAGTCCCGGGCTGTCTTTCTTCTCAAGTAGTCTAGCGGCTTGTCCTAACCTGATCTACTTCTCCTCCCTCCCTCTAGTCTAGTCTCGCCTCGACTTTCTCCTCTCCTCTTCTTTCTCCTCCTCTCCCTCCTTTACTTTACCCCGTCTTTCTCGGCTCTTCGCTCTCGCATTTGCCTTCTTCTTCCTCTTCCTCTTCTTCCTGTTGCAACCACCGGGCTCTAGGACAGTTGACTTGACACTCTCCTCTTCTTCCTCTGAATCCCTTCTTCCTCGTACTCACCCCGTGTTCTCCGCTCAACTGTGTCTCGGATGCTGTCCTGAGGCCACGGTCCAGCCACACACACCTTTGCATCACTCCTTTCCCTGGCATTTTTTTTCCTTGGCTTCCCCTCCTCCTCCTCCTCCTCCTCCTCCTCCACCCACTGCTTAATATACTTTATTTTGTCTTTTACCTCTGCCCCTCCCTACCTGGGCATCTAATCCATTCTCACTTCCTCCACCTTATACTCGACTACTTTAGTCTTCATCTGACAGCTGCTCTCGACTCGTCCTAGCCGTCTCCCATCCGCCATCCGCCTTTTGACGTTCCCTGAGCCGAACCGACACATCCACGGTACCGATTCCGCCGGTCCCTGGCTAACGAGTGCTCAACCCAACCCACCTCCCGGGGAACCACATAGACGGTTGCGCAGCGATTCCAAGGTGTTCAATTCTCCACTTTCTCCTTATTTACAATTTCCTCTTTTCGGCTCGTCTCGCTCGTGCTCTCGGCCCCCTTTCCCACCGGTTCATCACTTCACCGTCCGGCTCCCATCTTCTCCCAGCCTTCCTACCCCTCACATCATACAGACTGCTGTTTTCTCAACTCAGTCAACTCCGAGGTGGGACTTCGACCAGAACTGCCCTGAGCGGTTGGTGATTCTGGTCTGTGTGTCTCTGGGATGGCCTGATCGGGGACAAGAACAGAAAGAGAGAAGAAAAATTGTTCCTTGCCCAGTGACCAGCCGCTCGTTGACCTTGTCACGATCGCCTTCATAACAGCACACCGGGTTCCAGCTGGTCTGGACTTGTCTGATCCATATATACTGCTGCTGGAATGGCGGGGACGGCTACCGCGACATACTCGACAGATGCATGGACGTCACCCAGTGTAGAGGGGAGTCAATGGGAATTTTCGGTTCCAATCCGACAAGATGTAAGTGTGTCCTAGAAGTCAGTGGCCACGCTGCGGTAATTTGCAGCCACTGTACAGTATACCCGATCCAAGAGGATCGCAGGAATCAGACGAACTGACCTGGATTGTGCTAGAGCACTAATAATCGCTCCAAGTCGCGCTCGTCCCATGATTCGCGCTCCCGAGGGCATCGGCCCCAAGGCTCTCGCGGCTCCTCCTTGTCACGACACGTCCAGGCTCACGATCAGTTCAATCCGCGCGGTCGCCGAGACGCTAGCCATAGTCGACGGGAAAGTGAAGAATTCAACTCGCAGCATCACTATAGACACGAACCTGTAGACCGCAGCATTAGTAATGCGAACGCCTCGGCCGAGATCCCACGCCAGGATGGGACAATAAAAACAAGCGAGGGGATCGGAGTGTACCTCGGAGAGTTGGATAACGAGAAATGGATCCACCGAGATAAATTGGCCAAGATCGAAAGCGAAGAGTTACAGCAGTTGTTCCAGCGACGGGCTGCCACAGACGGGATCCAAAGTGGCCGTGGAAGGCCCCATGAGTCTCACGGGGTCAACGGACGCTCCTTTCCCCCCCACTCGCCAAACGAGCAGACGGAACCGTGGCCCAGTCTACATGATGGGTCACCGCGTGACTCCTACGACTCCAAACCTTTCTCCGACGCCGATGACCTTCACGATACTACACAAGGCGATCAAAAGGATTGGGACCTCCGACGGGCGGACGAGATTGCTGCAGACAAGACGAAAGAGAAGGCAGCGTCGAGCTTCTACCATAACCCTGGCTTGCGAAAGAGCTCTTCTCGGATCCCAATTCCGACCGCCAGCCCGGTCCCCATCTCGCCTGAACACGCTGGACGAGAGTTCCCCAGGCAGCGCACCCGAGCCCTCACCAATGGTGAAGATGAAGCGCTGTCGTTCGGGATGCCGCGTCGAGCTAGTGAGCCACTGACGGTCGAGGCAGCAAACGGCCTACCTTCCAATGGCAGCAGACCTGGTAGCCGTGGGTTCCCATCGCAGACCACGGCGGCCAAGAAAACACCAGCAAAGGCTGGACCTACCAGCCGTAAGACCTCTGCTCCTCCCGCAACCAGAAAGGCGACTCCCCGAGCTCGTCTCCCGTCCAGCACTCAGCGGCCTGGAGCCAGAGCAGATGGTCGGGGCCCTCCTAATCCCATCAATCGGCCGGAAGGAGATCCTCCATGGCTGGCTACCATGTACAAACCGGATCCGCGTCTTCCTCCAGACCAGCAGATTCTCCCCACGCACGCGCGGCGCATGCAGCAGGAGCAGTGGGCCAAGGAGGGCAAGACACCCACGATGTACGACCGCGAGTTTGCTCCGCTTGCAATCGGACCGGATGGACCATTCAAAGTGGAGAGACCGAAGAATGAGGCCCCGGAGCCGGAGAAGCCCCAAATGGAGGAGAAGACAAAGGAAGAAGTGCAGCCTGCACCACAGCAAACGCCCGAAGAGCAGCTCCCGTCCAAGGAAGGTGAAGCCGACGCTCGGCCCGTCACAGGTAGTGGGTATAGCACTATGCCCCGAGTGCAGGAACCAATGCCAGCACCACTGACACCCAAATGGAGCCCGCCGGTGGTGACGGCGCAAGAGCCACCCCCGAAGGAGAAGGGCTGCGGATGCTGCATCGTAATGTGATTTAATCCTGCCATATCAACCCTCTCAGCCTGAGCTACTTCTCAGCAGCATTTACCTGATTTTCCCCTGCATCATGCTTCTCAATTTCTCTTATTCTGTTTATTCAGCGTGCAGGTTGGGTGCGGTGTTCAAATCTCTAGGATTTTAATTCTTGTCCAATTTTTTTTTTCTATTTGTGCAAACTTTTGTGTCTAAAAAAAGACGATCATTTAATATTGCGGCCATCGACCTGTTTGATTCCCTCACTCTTACTGTCTTTGAGCATTGGTCATTCCTTGGAATTCCCTTACTTTGGCGAAGCATCAGCATTGGAGCGGTCATTATGACAATTCACACACCTTTTTCTTTTCTCTCCTTTTGTGTGTCGGCCGAGCAGGCTATTTATTTTGCGTCGTGAGTTTGTTTGCTTGCTGAATCTGAATCAGCAAGTTATAGAGAATGGAAGTTGTGAGAATATGACCGAGGTCGGGTGATGTAGTTGCTGTAGTGGAAGTGTCCAGCCAGTGAGAAGCAGTAGAAATGCCCGAGACAGGCTGTAGTTACAGTGCATCACGGAGACAAAGGAGAACTTAGAAGATTACCATGCTACAGTAAGCAAGTTGGGTGACCATACAGAAAACAACAGTAACTTATGTTAGTTAGATTTACTATCCGAGTATTTGTCACCCAACAAACATGGATGCTTTGTCAAGCGGTCCCTTCCAGAACCTTTCGACGCTCGGAGCGATGATGCCATAGCCGGGAGCGGAGCTTACTTACATAATCCCCGCGGGTTTGACTCCGAGACTTGCGCCGCCTTCAAGGTTGCGCCTTGCGCCATCCCGCCAACATCTCTCTCCATTATCCCCGTCCTCCAAACCCAAACACCGATCAACCTACCGTCCATCGTCCATATAATCCCGTCGCTACCCCTCACCCTTCCGTCCCCTCTTCTTCCTTCTTTTCAACCCACCACCCACCAAACAACAAACCCAACCCACCTCTTCGACCCGTCCCTCGTGCGCCGGTCGAATCTCCTTCCCAAACTCGCCCACCATAGCTTCCATCTTCACTCGTCTTTTCGGCTCCTTCGCCGGCCCCTCCCCCGCCACCATGGCCTCCGCAAAGACCAAGGCTCAGAACCTGATCAACGAGAATGGCGTCGGTGAGTTTGTTTTTTTTTTTTTTTTCCTTTCTAGCATAGCCTAGACCTTCACCCGTACCACCAGGATCAGATGTCCCACTAACGATAACCGTGTAGTCGTCTTCTCCAAATCCTACTGCCCCTACTGCGTCGCCAGCAAGCGCCTCCTCAACGAGCTGGGCGCCGAGTACAAGGTCCTGGAGTTGGATCAGATCTGTACGTTGCCCCTTCGCCCTCTTTCTTTCCCTTGTCTGCCTTGTTGTCTTTTCGCTGTTCGCTGGGGGGAGGGACTGTGGGCTAATATTGTTTCGTGGGGGTTTTAGCCGACGGCCAAGCCATCCAGGATGCTCTGTACGAGATCTCCTCGCAGAAGACCGTGCCCAACATCTTCATCAGCCAGAAGCACATCGGCGGCAACTCGGATCTGCAGGGCAAGGACCGCGCGCAGCTGAAGCAGTTGCTGACGGCTGCGGGGGCTTTGAAGGCTTAGATTTCCACCCAGGGGTGATAGGGTGGATATTGTAGGGGAGATAGAATTTGGTTGAATATACTTTGGTTTTTGTTCGATGCTTGGTGTTCTTGGATCTGTAGTTCGGGTATGTTGTAGAGATACAGGTACATGTACATACATGTCAAGTCTTGCGATTGTAGAAAAGAGAGAAGAGAGGGGGTTGGATTCCCGAAGGTACACAGTACAGTACACAGTAAGAGTAGGAGGTAAATAAAAACTGCAAGCCGATCTAAATTTACAAGACCTTCTGCACCACCGTGCCCACCGGCCGCTCCACCACCGCCATGATGCCCTCGACCACACTCTCGCGGGCGGGCTCGCTCGACACATTCTTCCCGGCCAGGTAATTCAACCACACGAGCCGACTGACGCGCTCGTCGGCGACGCGGCCCATATACCGCGTGGGCTTGTCAGCGACATCCGTCTGGTACAGGGCATCCAGCTGGCCCCGGGAATTCCGGACGAGCAGCACCGTATGCCCCTTGGGGACGTTCTTGTTGGCCCCGCCGCCGAACAGGGCCTTGAACGTCTTGACGGCGGCGCCGAACGCCTCGTCCGCGAACTCGCCGCGCCAGGGGTTGTACTTCTGGGCGCGGGCGGTGACGCCGCGCACGAAGGCGTCGCGCATGTGCGTGAAGTCCGTGTTGCGGACGGGCACGATGCGGAACGCCGTGCGCAGGCCCGGCTCCCGCAGGATCGCGTCCCACACCAGATCGCCCTGCTGTTCGCCGCCACCACTGCTGCTGCCGGCGTCGAGAAGCAGCTGGCGCAGCCGGTCGCGCTCCGTCGACACCAGCGAGGTCGCCGCCGTCGCGCCCACGGGGTTCGTGATCACCCCCCCATCACCCTTGGTTTCGGCTTCGATCACCCCCGCCAGCGTCGGCGGGTTCACCGCCGTCTGCACCAGCCGCCGCTGCAGCGCCGTGATGTCCGACTTGGCCACGTACATCCCCACCACGTACACCTGGATCCGCAGGAACGAGACCGTCCGGATCCCCAGCCCCAGCAGCTGGTACTCCTCCTCGTCCGCGGGTTTCTCAGCGGCGGTCGACAGCGCGATCTCGTCGCCCGCTGCCAAGCCGATGTTCTCGGCGTCCAGCGCCTTGGGCAGGCGGATCGTCGCCGGGAAGTACGGCACCGAGCTGGTCCCCGTTGCCACTTGCTCGGCGCCGGGGTCTTGCCCGTGCACCGTGATCAGCGACGGGCTGCTGGGGAAGCCGTTCGGCCCGTCGAGTTGCGTCTTCTTCGGAGATGGGGCCTCCTGGGCCGTGGGTATGGTGGCGGTAATGGAGGAGGACTGCTGCTGCTGCTTTGTTTGTTCCAGGCCGAAGAGGTCGAGTTTGATGATCCCGTACATGGCGATTGCGCACGCGGCGATCCCGCTGGCTGATAGGATCATCGAGCGCCGGTAGTTGGCGACATCCTTTTCGGTGCTGCGTACGCGCGAGGTGCGGAGCGGGTTGGAGGGGTTGCTACTGCTGCTGCTGCTGCCGGACGACGAGCGGACCGGGGAGGTGGTGGAGAGGTGCAGGCGCGATTGCGGGCGTCCGCCGCCGCGGGACAGGAGGTAGTGGCGGCGTATACACTGGTTGCATGTGCGCCAGGGCATGGCGATGCCCTGGAGGGAGGTGTGGGTGGCCATTGTGTGCCTTGCGAGGTGGTCACGTATGTTATGGTTTGGCTTGAAGGAAATGGGGGTGAGGGCGGATGCGTCGATGACGATGGGCCTGCTGCTGGTTGGTGCCGACGGAGATGCTGACACGTGATTTTGACCTGCCCTGATTGGTTGTGGGGAAAGTATGGGGGTCTCGAGGAATTTACTAGGTAGGTATAAATTACAGAGTGCCCTCGGGCTTTGATGTAATAATGCAGAGGTCAAGTACTCATTTCTCTCACTAGAAGCTATCGAGCTATTTCACAACCACTTTGTGGCTTCCTCCACTGGCCACCGCTACCGTTGCCGTGTTATTGGCATAGCTCACGCCCTTGGTGATCTTCTTGCCGTCGATCGTGATCGTTGGCTTCTTGGAATTGAGGTAGGGGAGAGCAAGGCTTCCCGTCGTCCCCTTCGGAACGGTGAACTGCAGGCTGTACTCATTCGATTGCTTCGTCCACGATGCCTGGAACTGGCCCAGCGAAGTCGTGAACCCAGCCTGGGCGGTCTTCAGATCTCCGAATTGCGGCGCGAGTTTCCAGGTTGCCCCCACCGGGGAGGTGACGGTCAGGCCCACGATGTAGTTTGTCAGGGCCGACGTGGGTCCAGAAGACCAGCCGTGCGCGTGGGAGACATACGCCGTGTCGTAGTAGTATCCACGGCTTGACCGGTAGCCAAACGTGCCGTTCTGCAGGTATCCTTCAATGACTGTGCTTTGGGTGCCGTTCTCATTGTTGTAATACCATCCCCAGCTTCGCCGGATCAGCTCCAGAGCTCGAGCGGGCTGGCCCACGGTAAAGTGGCCCTGAATCTCGAAGGACGAGATGAACGGTGAAATGTTCTCCGGTAGCTCGGGGGCCACGGCACCGATGGGTGTCCAGTTCTCGGTCAGTTTCTCGGAAATGCTAGCAGCGCGCTCGGAGTCGACTACGCCAAACAACAGGGCCATGCTATTTGCGTCTTGCGGGTGAAGAGTCGTGTCGGTTGCGTTGTCTTTGAACGCTCCGTACGAGTCGTCCCAGCAGTACTCGTTGATGGCCTCCCGCAGCTTCTCCGCCCGGGTGGTGTAGGTGTCCGACAGACCAGTGGTGTCACCTGCCCAGGTGGCAAGCTCGGCTCCTGTCTTGAGGGTGTGGTACAGGCTAGCGACTGTCAGTCTGGCTTGGATCCGGAGTAAAGTGCACTGTACTCACATCATCTGCGCCTCAGTGTTGTTATACCCTTGCTGCCATCTGGCCCAGTCGCGGGTACCGGTGACATTGAGCAAGCCACTGGCGTAGGTCACCTTGCCATAGATATACTCCATGGCTTTCTGGTAGCCAGCCCAATTGGTCTCGAGGAAACTGGTATCATTGGTATACAATAGGTAATTGTAGGTGCCAACCATTGACCACATGTGGTAGGTGTCCGAGTTCTTCTGGCTAAGGGGAGGTCCTGATTCATCGAACGCTCCTGTCGAGGCCTGTTCTTCATTAGCAAAACTGGCCATAAATTCCTTCGCAGTTACATGCCTGGTAGTTGTACATCACTTGCAGTGCGTTTTTGACGCTCTCCAAGTTACCAATGCTAACAAAGGCGGACGGAACCGCAATGCCCATATCGCCTGGCCACACAGCTCGATCTCTCTTCGCACCGTCGACAATGATGGTGTCACCAGGCCCCAACGTGGCGTTGTTAGCCCATCCAGCAGGCATCGCTGGAATCTGGCGACCGGTGTTGACGGGGACCTCGTTGGTCTGCAGCGTGTAGGCGCCGCTGTACCAGATGGCATTCAGCAGGTCGTCACTAGAATCGAAGTATCCTTGGTAGGCTCTCAAATTAGACCATGTGGGCTGAAAGCCAATTTCCAGGCTCACGTCCTTGATCTGAACTGCAGTCGAGTTGTCCGTGATCAAGAACAGCGTCAGGTACCGAAATCCACCACGAAGGTACTTGTCAGGCATTGTATACGAATGCTCGCCCGCTTCAGTAAAGTTCCCATACAACGCGCCATCGGGACCTTTGAACCCTCCATTGGAGGAGTCGGACCATTCACCAATGTAGTCCTTGGCCTCGGTAAATGCCAGTCCCAGGGCTCCACTACCTGTGGAGGTATACTTCACCGTGACAATGCCACCTACTTCTCTTCCGAAATCGTAGACCACCAGGGATCCATTCCCCTGGAGCTTATACTGGGCATACTCATGCGTGACATCTGGCTTGGTGACCAAGAAGAGCGTTTCTGGGTTCACGGTTCGAGAAGCCGGAGCGAAGATGTTTTTCTCCCACGAACCTGGAAAGGCGGCAGTTGTAGGGCCGGAACAGGTGGTGTTACGCCAACATGAAGTGGCTTCAGAAAGAGGAAGAAGAGCAATGGCTCCTAGGAGAGATGGAAGCCAACGCATGATTGCTGTCTATCGCAACCTATGCAGGTATCTCAAGTGCCGACAGACCTGGGAGAGAAAAGTTGAACCCATGGTTGTGGCGACGAAGGATATAAATACAAGCAAGGGGGGCATCATCTCCACTGGATGATTCCCCGGACTTTCTACCCCAGAAACCCAAAAGAGGGGTCGAACAGTTGTTCCCTGGAGTTGGAATTAATCTGTATCTCGGTTCGCTTGCGATGCTTTGACCGAAAGGAGGGGAAATGCGCGAGTCACTCGGGCGTGGCTCGGTTAAATACAAGTGATAAATCGGTCTGGTCCACTCATCCCAAGTAAAAGCTTCGTGCCGCACAAGCTTCTCAATGAGATGAAGCTTGACGAAGGGAAATGAACAAAAGTCTTGAGATGCAGGTTGCAGGTTGCATGGGGGTGTCATTGGTGGAAATTGGATCATCTCCTGCTTCTACCCCGTCTTTTTTCTCCGCACTGCATCATTTCCCCTTTACCCGCCTCATCTCATCAGTCCCACTCGGGCCAATTGCCCCCGATAGATTGCTTTCGTGCTTGATGTGACGTTGCGGAGAGACCCTTGAGCCCCCCTCGGCAATTATTAGAAAAAGCGAGATGGCGCAATGTGAGGTCCGCAGACAGCAGCCCGGCTCTCAGGATTCTGTTTGCGCGTCAAGTCCGTCACAATGCGATTCTCTTTGACCTCAGCATCCTCCCTTTCGCTACTCTTGGGGCTTTCTGCTCTGGGCTGCGCAAGCAACGTCCAGAAGAAAGGCAATGTATGTACCGTGAAGGCCAATGGACATCAGAAGGACGATGTACCGAGCCTCTTAGAAGCATTCAAGGAATGTGGCAACGGAGGAACCATCATTTTCCCTGAAGACCAGTCCTACTGGATCGGACAGAGACTGAACCCTGTCTTGAATAATGTCGCGATTGAATGGCGGGGAAAGTGGACGGTAAGGGTCTTTCTTCGCTCATGGGCGCCATGCGCACATGCTAACGTTCCATAATCAGTTCTCGGATGATCTGTCCTACTGGCGCAACCACTCCTACCCAGTCGCCTTCCAGAATCATGCCGCTGGGTTCGTTATTACTGGGCAGAACATCAGCATCAATGGGTACGGGACTGGAGGTATCGACGGTAATGGCAATGTCTGGTACACTGCAGAGGCAGGCGTCACGCAGCCTGGAAGGCCGATGCCCTTCGTCTTCTGGAATGTTTCCGACGTCGAGGTCGAAAGTTTTTACGTCAAGGACCCCCCGTTGTGGAGTCTGAACATCATGAACGGCACGAACATGAGGTTCAACGACATCACCTGCAACGCGACGGCTGTCGATGCGCCGTATGGTAGTAACTGGGTCCAGAACACCGATGGATTTGGTACGTACCTTTGCGACCCCACCTATTGTAATGTCCATCAACTGATCGCATCATCTTCCCAGACACGATGGACGCCACCAACATCCAACTCACCAACTTCGTCTACCAGGGTGGTGACGACTGCATTGCCATCAAACCCCGCTCCTATAACATCGACATCCAGAACGTCACCTGCCGCGGTGGCAATGGAATCGCGGTTGGCAGTCTCGGACAGTACTTGGAAGATTCCAGTGTCGCGAACATCCGAGTTGACAATGTCAAGGTACTATGCTGCAGCACCAACCAAGCCCCTCGTTCAAGTGAGAACTAACAAGCATGACCAAACCCCCAGATCATCCGATACAACGAGGACATGCACAACAGCGCCTACATCAAGACCTGGGTCGGAGCACTCGTGCCCCAGGACTCGTATGAGAGCGACTACCTTCCCCGCGGAGACGGCTGGGGCAGCGTCAAGAATATCATTTTCTCGAACTTTGACGTGCAGGGGGCCAACGCGGGCCCCGCGATCAGCGAGAGCAGTGGGGACAACGGATCATACGCCGGAACGAGCAAGATGCTGATCTCCAACATCGCGTTCGTCAACTTCACGGGGTATATCAATACCACCAAGTCTACGACGTCCTCGGTCTCGTGCTCGAAGCTGTACCCTTGCTACAACATCGAGTACGACAACGTGGTTCTGTACCCACTGAACTCGACTACGCCGGGCAAAGGCTCCTGCTCGTACACGGCTGACGGGGGTGTTCATGGTCTGAGCGGATGCTAGTGTGTCGAGCTGCAGCTCTACGGTACTGCTGCTTTGTGCCATTTGTATCGTGGGGGGGAGGGGGGTGTATATATACTTGATAGTGCCAATAGTGGTTATGAGCCTAGTAGGCCTTGCTATCTAGGGTCGCTCTCAACGATAGGGTCTGTGGCCAATCCATCACTTTCTCGCTTAGGATCATGCTACTATACCCTACATAATCTCCACCTCCGTTGGACTTAATAACACCTTCAAGACCCCTGCTATTCCCACAAACCATCATGGCATACGCCAGCCATAGACTTTCACGAGGCTGGCGACTAGTGGCTGAAAGCCAAGCTCTCGCCATGAAGCAACAAGCCCCCCCGGCCAAGACTCAGTAGTGGAGCGAGGATCCTCTATGATATGAGTCGGGAAGCGATATCATGGGGTGCCGCATGACGAATGTTGATGTCAGTTCAAAACACAACAAATACAGAAAATTGCGTCATCATCGGCTGCTATGCTCTGGAGAACGGGTAATTGATCTAGCCCTTGGGGAGTGAAGTCGCAGTGCCCCAGCAAAACAAGGTACATGCCTACGTAGCAAATGGCAAAACAAAAGAAAACCCAAAAAAAGAATGACCTACGCAGGACTCGAACCTGCAATCTCTTGATTCGTAGTCAAGCGCCTTACCATTGGGCCAGCAGGCCTTGCTGTTGGAAAACTCGAAGACACTGTGCTTTATATCCCTTCCACAAAAGAATGCTCATCTCGATCAGGGCAAGATGAATCGAATACAGCCCAGAATCACAAAAGAACATCTTACTGTAGTTGACATAGGCACCGAAATAGAGGCAAGTGCATATTGGAGTTGAGCCAACGCTTTTCTCGGCATACTTCTCATATGACCTTGTACAGGCCGCGTCTACGCCCTACTGATGGGTAGCGAGCCCGACATATATCATCTCAGTGGCTACGAGCCCCATCCGGGTCATCAGGCGGCCATGACTCACGTTGGAGGACGTACAAGAATCCGGACTACCATCAAGACATACCAAATCTTACCAAAAAGCCCACGGTCGACCAGACAGTCACTCAATAACCAGGCTATGAGCAGAACTACCGGCACAAAGCTACGGTTTCCGGACATTGTTTGCCCAAGAGCCGGCCATGCAGGTCCTATTGTCACTCCCAGTGACATAGCCGGCACGTGGATAGTGCTGGGACATGACTTTTAAAAGCTAGCTTTCAGTAAGCTCCATTTTTTCTTTTTCTTTTTCTTTTCTTTTCTTTTCTTTTCTTTTCTTTTCTTTTCTTTTTTTTTTTTTTCAATCCGGTTGTAAAGGAATTACACGTGCTGCAAACCAGACATGCCAGGACATCCGCGTCGAGTGTAGCACAGTAAAGCGCTCAGCATGGTGTCCAAGCGTGGATCACATCGCTCAACCGCCCCTGTCAGTGGACGAGATCACACGCAAGCATATGCCCATAGACTCCACAGACCAACGGATGATTTTCATCATCGAGTCCCGGGGAACGGCCGGGTGCTTGCTCAGACACAATCCTGCCGACAAAAGTCCTAGACGCGTGAACTGCGGCTACATCCATGAGGGTGAGCAGGAAGGTAACTGTCAAAAGCAGCATCTGTTTTGTACCATGCCCCGGCGAGACAGCACAGTTGCTAAGAACTACAAAAGGCCCTGCTGGCAACACCGTCCATGATTATTCGTCCACAGAACCAGTGAATATGACAACAAATCATTGAGATATGCCCTTCTCCAATACCACGACCTATGAAACAAAGGCCGCTCGATTTCCATGGCTGTCTAATAAGCACAAAATGTAAGAGCAGAAAAGGGTTGACGTAGAGGCCGAGATATATGCTTTCTGTAAATTGTGTAGTTTCAGATGTCGAGTTACTATAACGATGCGCAAAGTGAGATGCAAAATTTTTCTGCTTATGTGTGAATTAAGTTAAGATCATGAATTCATTCATCAAAGTTCCCAGGAAATCTTAGAACTCGGTTTTCTCCAACAGATCTGTACTGCACGTCCAGATGTGATGCTGTTTTCGTCAGCCTAACCGCCTGAACCACCATACATTGACAATGTGGTCTTGGCGGGTGGGCTCCAGAAGTGGCCTAGGAAGAGGGTTCCTTGGCGGCACCAGCCTCACGAACTGCGTTGGCAACACGGGTGGCGAGATCATCGGCCTCGGAACGGCTCGCCGCTTCGGCGTAAACACGTACTGCATCCTCCGTGCCACTTGCACGGGCGAAGCTCCTTCCCTTGTTGTATCGGGATTGCAGAGACTCGATCTCAGCCTGAAGGCCGGGTGGTGACTCGAGCTTACGCTCAGCGTCATAAGCCTTGAAGATCGAACGGTCCGCGACCTCGACACGGACAAGACGCGACGGCAAATCGGTGTAAGTCGCGAGCCACTCCTTGGGGCTCCAGCCCTTGTGTGAAAGAATAGCCTCCACGAGGAGCATGTCCGAGATGGCGTCTCCAACAGCCTGGTTAATCAGATCCGTCAAGCCCTGAAGGCACTCGAGCGAGCGCTGCTGAGCAGGAGACTGAGGCTCCGTGTTCTTGATCGTCTTCAAAGCATTCTCGGAGAAGGTGATCGTGCCGTGCCCGTTGGCCTCGAAATAGACACCGACATCGAACCGCAAAGCGGCGTGGTGAAGGTGCTTAACACCGGTGTTCGTGCAAACGGAGGGAAGTTTCAGCACTTTCTCAATGTAGTCAGTGCTAGATCCGTTGGCATAAGCAGTCTGCACGACTCCGATCTTAAGTTTCTGTGCGATGCCAGCGCTACGAGCAAGGTCGCCAATGAATGATGCAGCAAGGGTGGCGATGCGATCGCCATCGAGCAGCCTGAAGACGTTGCTCTCATCGACGAAGTAGTAAACGATACGGTCAGCATCGCCGTCCAGTGAGGCACAGCGCTCGAGAGGACCGGCCTTGGAGGACGGAGGAGCACGTTGCTTCGTCTTGACATAATCGGCGCCACACTGATAGATGGATTAGCCCGAGGCCGGCAACAATGGGGAGGCCCGTGGAAGAATCTTACCTCGAAGTTGAGGCTATCAGGGTTGATGACGTCGTCGTTAACGATCTTGATGTCGAGGCCACCTTCCTCCGCAGTGGGCAGGTACTTGATAAGCTCCCTGAGCTTGGGTCCACCAACACCGTTGGCGCAGTCAACCGTCAAAGAGCCCTTGATCTTAATGCCCCGCATCACTCTCTTGAAAGCCTCGGCAAGTTTCTCATAGTAGCCCTGCTCAGTCGGCTCACCATACTCATACTGTGTACCCAGGGTGTTCTTGCACCGAACGACATAGTGAAGCTGAGGGGTGGTCATGAACTTCAAGTCAAGGAATTCGACTTCCGTAGCGGTAAGTGCGGCGCTGAGAACCGAGACGAGGCGAGAGCCAGACGCGCGAGTGTCGCGGGCGAAAACAACGCGAGCTTGGTTCTCCATGCTGACATCGATCTCTTTAATCAACTCCTCGTACACATCTCCGACCTTGTCGAGCGGGGCGTTGGCAAGTCTGGTCGCATAGGTCTCCCATTCGGCCTGAAAGGATGTGAGATGACATTCTGTCGTGAATCATACTTGGGCTCCTACCTCCAGCATCTCACCCTAGTTAAGTGGCTGAGTCAGTTACTGAGGTTACCATCGGAGATCACCAATGTAGAGGAACTCACCATAGGGTCGACGAGCTTAACGCCATTGTCCTCTGCAGGGTTGTGGCTGGCAGTGACCATGACACCAACCCATTGCCCACTAAGCTTCCTGGAACGAAGACCCGCAAGCAAACCAACAGTGAAAACGACGGTATTGAGGAGGTCGCTGGTAAGGCGTGAGTAAACATGTAAACAACAGCGCGATCGCGGGGTATTGTGGAGGCGGGGTCGATCGTTCAGGCTGTTGATCGAGCAGCTAGACTTACGCCTTCATACGGAACTGCGAGGAAATGATCGGTCAGATTGTTACAGAATCAAAGTGTCTGATAACACGTAGGAACTTACTCCTGCAGTACCATACTGGAAGATCCTCCCTTCTGGCTTTGCGTACTGAGCAGCCGCTTCAGCGATTGCTTTCTTGACAGCCGGAGACGCCATTTGTGGCGCGAACTAGGTGGGAATGAGGGGGCGGCGGCAGATCTCGTGGCAAATGGCAAATGGCGGCTCGGGGCTTTGAAGCAGACAGCACTATGATGAAGCAAGTGTAGTGCCAGACAAAAAGGGGAGAAATATCACAAAAAGGAGGAAGGGCAGAGCGAGTGGAGGGATGAGTGGGTTGAGACATAAAACCGGGGCCAGCTCAGGCTACTAGCTTGCTTCCCTGTACTGCCACAATGCGCCCAAGCGGTGAGCCGCTCACCGATGGCGTGGTTTGGAACAACCCGCCCAGCCGAGGGACACGGGAAGGAAGTTGGAACAGGGGAAAAAAGGTGGAAATTAGAGGCACAGCCAGGAAGCTACCTAGAGATACTTGTATCTACGTAGTAGTTCTCTATGAGCCTTAAGATCGTTGAACATTCTATCAAATATTGCTACAAATTATTCAGACTGTTTGAGGCCACCAGGACCATTTCAAAACCTGACGGCTACTGGCACCAAGCGGAGCCGTCTCCGCAAGCCAGCTTAGAGCTTGAGTCTCTCCCCTGCCACATCATTCTGAATGTCTTTGGTAAGGAAACTAGGACCCGGAGAAGTCAGTATCTCAGCATCCAGCACTTCAATGACTAGGTATAGGGGGCTCGGGACAACTCACAAGTACCACCACGCTGTGGGAATCACTGTCCCAAGGTGCCATAAGCTATGCGCGTCAATGAGCTCATTCCAAGGGGGAAAGTCAAGCAGCTCCAGGCTCATCGCGAAGATAATCCAGACCACAATCAACGCGGGCCAGGCCATCCAAGCTTTACCATACTTCCTATAACGATAAATGCTAAAGGATACCCACAGAACATTCTGAGCCATCCCTATCACGATATTGGCAATCATGTTGTAGGTGTAGTCCCAAGACCAGAAGCTCAGGTAGCAGACGTGCAAAGTGTAAAGCAAGATGCAGATAGTTGTCCAGAGACGGCGCAAAGTCGGCTTATGGCGAGGCTCCTCTCCATCGAGACGGAAAATCCGAATGATCGCAAGGTACAAACCATACATCACGTTAGCTCCGGCCCCAAAGTAATCCAGCTTTTCAGTCAATGGGAGGTCTCGTGTGTGAAACAAGGCACTAAACGTCCAGCATGCTAATCCACAATATCCGAAAGCCATATAGTACGGCTTGAGTGAGTGCCACGATGGAATAGTTTCTCGGATCTTACCCATTCCATGCCAGTGGGCGAGAAAGTTGAGGAGGGAGAAAAGGACAGAAAAGGGCTCCTGCATGCCGAGGATTCTGCGAAACGGCCATTTTCCGTGAAATTGTAGTACTGGATTTAACATCGGAGGATCGCGAGCGACACGGCGATCTGTCACGACATGTTGGCAGGTATAATCGCACTCGGAGGGACACGTCCACAGCATGAGACGAAGATGGAGAGCTGGTGACGAATTAGTCGGAAAAATTATGGTCGGCGAATCTGTGTGAAGCTTACGGATCACCGAGTTGCCATCGTGACAGTTTTCAGCCTTGCAGACCTGCTCATATATTAGCTATCGTATTGCATCTGCACAGCTCTAGCTAGTTTGGTTCAGGTACCTTAACGCATTCCTTGAAATCAGGAAGGTGATCGCCCAGAGACGCTGCCGATTTGCCAATCAGAGAAGCAAAAAAGAGAATGAGAAAGCAGCAATATAGCTTCCTCCTGGTTGAGCCTAGAAACATAGTGATCTCTGAGTTCTTGTAGCACAACCGGCAGAAAGGTGAGTTCAGGGAGGTAGACCCTTAGAAGAAGCTAGGCGGCGCGTGGCAGCAGCGGGGGCGGAGTGGCTTCGCGCGGCAATAAATAATAGGGAGCTCGGCATTTCCGGTCCCAGGTCTAGAAATAGCATGGAAGCATGATCGAAGAATGGATCCTCAAAATCCAGGAAGTCACCATAAAACACCGAAGAATCATGCTGGAGACGGAGCATATGTATCTTTAATTTTTGCCTGGAGCGCTGATGGGCTGTTCCCGTAGCCACGAAAAGTGACCGCAGCACATAAGTTAGTCTTTAGTTATCTAAAACTGGCCAAAAAGTTTATGTTGTACTACAGTAGGATTGCCAAGTACAATAGAAGCTGCTTTGAAGAATCATAATTGCAATTCAATTGCGACCATGGCTCAATTGAGTTGTCCATACCCAAATTTGATTGGCAGACCGAAATACCTTACATGTCCCAACGCCGCCGCGGGAACTCCAAGTCACTTACTAACCATTCTGATCTGCTCTTAGCCCTAATCACTGCTCAGGGCTAAGTCAAATCACATGCCGATAGACTACATTCAGCATAGTCTATCTCATCAGTAGTCTAAACCATATTGGGTCTTAGCGTATGTTGCCTTCCAGAGGAGAAATTCCCAATGAGGGCAAAGGCCAAAAAAAAAGGCGGCCGCTCGAAGGGTTCGCTGAAGTGCTTTGTACTTTTTCACTTCTGCATATTGTTTTATCATCAGCTAAACTTGTTGATATTTTCTTCTCATTTCGCTTCTGATTTAGGTCCCTGGATCTGTGATATCCTGCAAAGCAACTTTCCTGTCTAGTTCATCCATAAGCAACCGACTGATTTGCTATCATGGCCGGAGTTGAGAAACAACAGTCCAGCAGTGCTGATCGCATGGTTGGCATGGACCATGCTGAAGTTCGTTATTTCACGAGGTACATCTAATCCCAGTGACTGACCTCGATATTGTGCTAATTGTGCCTTAGTTATGATCACCATGGTAAATAATCCCAAGCACAGAACTTCACCTAGTCTCGGAGATGGCTAACGTCAAACCCCGCTCAGGCATTCACGAGGAGATGCTTGTAAGTCCGCCGCACACAGCCCCTTGCAATAGCCTACTAATATCTCATTCTTAACAGAAAGACGATGTCCGCACCAGATCTTACCGCGACTCCATTTACCAGAACCGCCACATTTTCAAGGACAAGGTTGTTCTCGATGTCGGCTGCGGTACCGGTATTCTTAGCATGTAGGTGCCTGACTCCGTTACATGCATCATTATTGGATATTGATGTTGTCGGTTTCCTAGGTTCGCTGCGAAGGCCGGTGCTAAACATGTGATGGGTGTTGATATGTCCTCGATTATCGAGAAGGCCCGTGAGATCGTTGAGGTCAACGGCCTGACCAGCAAGATCACTCTTCTGCAGGGAAAGATGGAGGAGGTTGTCCTGCCCTACCCGAAGGTTGACATTATCATTTCGGAGTGGATGGGCTACTTCCTCCTCTACGAATCCATGCTGGACACTGTCCTCTATGCCCGCGACCGCTACCTCGTTCCCGGTGGCAAGATTTTCCCTGATAAGGCTACCATGTACTTGGCCGCCATTGAAGATGGCGAGTACAAGGATGATAAGATTGGATGTGAGAGAAACCATTTCGTCAATTTCAAACCGTCGCTAATGAGAACTAGTCTGGGACAACGTCTATGGCTTCGATTACAGCCCCATGAAGGAGACTGCCCTCACTGAGCCTCTTGTGGATACAGTTGAGATGAAGGCACTTGTCTCTGACCCTTGTCCCATCATTTCATTCGATCTTTACACCGTCACCAAGGAAGATCTTGCATTCAAGGTACCCTACTCGCTCACTGTCAAGCGTAGCGATTTCGTCCACGCCGTTATCGCCTGGTTCGATATTGAATTTGGCGCTTGCCACAAGCCCATCCTTTTCTCCACTGGCCCCCATGCCAAGTACACCCACTGGAAGCAGACCGTTTTCTATCTGCGGGATGTTCTCACTGTTGAGGAAGAGGAAGTTGTGTCTGGTATGCTAGAGAACAAGCCCAACGACAAGAACAAGCGCGACCTTGATATCAGCATCACCTACAAGCTGGAGACTACGGACCCGAACCGCTCCGCCGAGGGTGGCTGCTTCTACAGAATGTAAGTGCATTCACCAGTCATCATCATCGAGTCAATCAGGAAGCTAATTCTTGAAGGTGCTAAACTGAGGCGTTGAAATCCTCATCACCAAATTGATCCATCACTGGGTCGGTACACTGATCTCTCTGACTGAATTCCCTGTCTTAGAATTCAGTCAGTACCCTCAATACTATTTACCCGAGGGTTGCATGGCATTTGAAGGAAAGTACACTTGCATGACGTTGGGTCGATGAATAGGTTTTCTTGACTTGCTTTGTTTGTTTATGCCATTTCATTTCCGTTATGTTCCGGCGTTTTATTGGAAGGCAGGAAACGGCATCATTATTTGGCGCGACACGGAGAGATGGTTTCCACAAGGACGATTATGAAGCTCCTCGAAATTCCCAAGTAGATACCCCGAGTCGATGCTCAATCTTATCATCTCTTAACGATCTCCTTATATTGTTTAGCTTCAGCCCCATCACTCTGGGTGTCCCCGAGTCTTTACGGGCAAAACATTGACAGATGTTGTAATACTTCGTATACTTCTCTCTGAGCCTTGAACCAGTATGATACCTGGGTTGATTTGGCTGGCCCATTCAAAGCGGCATGGCGCTCTCGGTCCAGATTACACTAGCCTCGGCTTGTTTGCGGCCCCGCAGTCCGGGGTACAAAAGCACAGCATATTGTCCCAGACTCTTGTAAAAACCATCCTGCATTATCCATTACCCATTACTCAAGTAGCTCAACTTCGCTTTTTGAAAGATCGCAGAGCGCACTAGACACAGTCTTCCACCATTCCGTCCAAATAGCACACATACGCAGGCGATTATCTACATTGTCACTAGCTGAGATGTCTGCTCCCGGGGCTGGTCATGAGTTTGCTCCCCAGGAAGTCTCCTGGCAGAAGCGCGATATTCTCCTGTTTGCTAACAGCATTGGCTGCAAAGCTGATGAGCTTCACTTTCTTTACGTATGTTGTATTGTCTGCACAAGGCCCCATTGCAACGTGTGCTAAAAAAAAGCGCGGCGCAGGAACTACACCCCAGATTCGCGGTCTTTCCAACCTACCCGGTTATCCTTCGTATGTGCGAGCCTCTCAGCTCATATCTCAACGGCCACTGATGCATTTTACTTCATACAGCATTTAAGCTCACTGATCAGGAAGTGGTTGACTTCTATGCTCGGGCAGGCGGTGCCCCTATCCCCGGAGCCCCCAAGCTCGACTACCGCCGTGTCGTGGATGGTCAGCGGCGAATCATCGCCCTGAAGCCTCTTCCAACATCCAGCGCAGGTCGAAAATTCGAGTTGCGCAACAAAGTCATTGGACTTTATGATAAGGGCAAGGCCGGGACTGTGCTGGAGACAGAACAGTCGATTGTCGACCAGGCCACTGGAGACATCTTTACGAAGATCCTGAGCAGCAGCTTCTTTGTCGGACAGGGCGGCTGGGGAGGTCCAAAGGGTAGGTGCTGTGTCTGGTCTTAGGACCAAACCCATGAAGGCTGCCTAACTTGTTTTGTTATAGGCCCAAGCACGGTGAATTACCCTCCTCCGAAGGGTAAAAGTCCCGACGCCACCCATGTGATCCAGACGACGTCCGAAACGGCTCTCTTATATCGGTAAGATCCCTGGATACCTCTACGACTTGGATTCTCCGATGAAGTTCTAACACACTGGATAGTCTCAATGGTGATTATAATCCTCTCCATGCAACTCCCGAGCCGGGCGCGAAGATGGGTTTCGGTGGTACCATCATCCATGGACTCTTCAGCTGGAACGCCGCAGCCCATGGTGTATTGAGAGAAATTGGACAGAGCGACCCAGAAAACCTGAAAGAGTTCCAAGCGCGCTTTGCCTCTCCGGTAAAACCAGGCGACAAACTTACTACTGAGATATGGCGGATGGGCAGGCTGGGAGGCGGAGATGAGGAGATTCGTTTTATTGTGAGAAACGACCAGGGTAAGGTGGTACTCAGCAATGGCCGTTGTCTGTTGAAAGCTACCGACTCGAAGGCCAAGCTGTAGTTGCAGTTCCATAGGTTGACTAGAAAAAACCTTTATATCACATGTGTAGATTGTCAGATCGCGAATTGGTATACGTCGCAAGCACATATGAGTACGACCCAGTCTAGAAGTTCAAATTAGCTACTAGATAGAATCAGAGTCTCGAATGTGTTAAGCATAAATTAGAGCAATAGCTTGAAGGTGGGCCGATTTGCGGGGTGGGCGCTGCTACCTCGGTTTCCGGTCCTCACACGTGACATGGAACTTCGGTCGTCCACTGATTTTTGGGCATATAGAGATTGAGATTCTCCGTTACGCGATACGGAAAAGCATTGTTTGGGCTGCGTTTCTGATGCCACAGCAGTTGAGATGAGTGCTGTAGGAAGGCGATTTGTTTGTCGGGCGCTCGCCCCTTCAAGCCCTTTCAGGTAAAGATCATACTCCGAGCTGCCACAACGAATGCTCATGATCGATATAGGAGGGCGAATGTGGTGCCTTGCTCTCGATGGACCTGCGCTGTTTCGGTGTGTATCTTCGCCTGGCTTCGACTGGTAGTTGAACCAGTTCATTTAAGCTGAGTTTCTTCCCCACAGAGCATAAGACTCCTTTTTACAGGCCAATGTAACACACTTCCCTCCCGAGCGCCACACCATGGGCCTTGATATCACCAGCAACTGGAAGCTGATGCAACCCCCATTTTAGCCCGGACAAAGAACAAGACAGCCAAACACGACCCCGAATCAGCTCAGCGGTTCTCAAAAAATGTCTTCAAGAAATTGTAAACAATATTCACGGGCACTATCAGCTGCCTTCCATACGCATGAATGGCTGAGACGGCTAACACTGTTTTGCAGAGGACCATTCTGGCTACGGTAAGTCGCTTTATGGCCAGTGCCCATCGCATCGAGACTTATATTTTGGGTATTGCTCCATGATAGAGACAATTGCCAGTGTGAAAAATGCCATCATCCTCAAACCCGACAGCGGGAGGTAGACACTTTTGCGGTATGTGCGCAAATTTCGAACATGCGAAGTATTCTGCTAATATGTGCCCTCCTGCTTCTGCTATTCCCCAGATTCCTCCAGATATAATTATCAAGAAAGTCATCTATGCAGCGGAAGGCCTTAAATTGAATTGTAAGTGTATATTCGATGTCTCAAGTCATGTCGAGGCTAAAATTCAAGAAGTTTCGGATGGACATACGGGGTTCTACACATATCCATGGCTCAAAGCCAATGGTACTAAAGTACCGAGCAGTGTGCTTCGAGCCGATCATTCAGCCAAACCCAGGTACTACAAACACGGATGATGCATGCTGCAATTGGAACTCACCAAACATGTTCATAGGCCTTATCATCCATTCACGGGAACGGGGCCATATCCCACGGTGTTATATGACGATGTTATGCAGGATGACAAGGGCTTGTTGCAGTGGCTTGATAAGATTGTGAGTCCCGCCCCCGCTCCACAATCTGCTACCCGATCACTGAGTCTGGATAGTATATCTACGGGTTCTGTTTCGTCATAGGTGTTCCTGTGACAACTCGGGACACTGAGAAGCTTCTCGAGAGAATCGCTTTCATCAGGCCTACACATTATGGTATGAAAACAATGTTATATACACTTACAGTAACTCTTGATTCACGATAATGCTGATTCATTTATTCCAGGGGGTTTTTGGGATTTCACATCTGATATGAGTTTCGGGGACTCTGCGTATACAAGCCAAGGTCTCGGCGCACACACTGATACCACATACTTTACGGATCCTGCGAGACTCCAATTATTCCACCTTTTGTCTCATACCGACGGCAAAGGGGGAGCTAGCCTGCTCGTTGATGGGTTTCGAGCAGCCGAGACGCTGCAGAGGGAGACAAAGGCGCACTACGCCCATTTAATGCGCCTAAGCCAGCCTGCTCATGCCAGTGGCAACGAGAATGTCTGCATACAGCCTATACACGAATTTCCGGTGCTCGAAGTCCACCCGCAGTTAGACCAGCTGTACCGGATCCGTTGGAACAATTACGATAGAGCACCGAAGACGAATTGGGGGATCAAAGACGTGAAGCAGTGGTACACTGCGGCGCGACACTGGAACGAGATTATCAGCCGCGAGAAGTTCCAGATCTGGACACAACTCGAACCGGGAACCGCTCTAAGTAAGTATCAAGTAGTTGATCCATGGTGCTGTTTGGAGACTCCTAGCTGACCGGCTGAAAGTCTTCGATAATTGGAGAATGCTCCACGGGCGTTCAGAATTCACCGGAAAGCGGAGAATGTGTGGTGGTTATAGTAAGTGCTCGTGCTTCGCTGGCTGCTACATACCGTCTTTGGTCTGAGGTTCGAGTACGTTTGCTGACTCATTATAGTCAATAATGACGATTTTCTCTCTCAATATCGTCTTCTCAAGTTCGGCCGAGAACACGTCCTCAACAGTCTTGGTAATTGGCATGGTCAACGCCTCAAAGAAGCCAACCCGAATTTCCTGATATAACAGGCCTGCAAATTCTGGTCATGCTCAGATACTGTACCTAGACCATGCGTGGATGATGTGTTCATAGCAAGCGATAGTGAATGAGCGAGGGAAAGCATGCTCCGTTGCAGTGGCGAGTGAGAGTGCAAAGCAGTAGACGCAATGCTTTAAGTGTGGTCAGGAGTCTCCTCTACCCACTGTGGGTGAAGCTGGCATGTAGGGTGTGAATCGAAGGATAATCGCCATTGTATACCACAAGTGAAGGACCAGATACTCTACATCAATAGCACTAGATTACATGAGAAACGGAGTCATTACCTAGCAGTCGGAGGCCGGGTCATTTGTAATAGTGTCACGTGACATAGTCAGGACGGCTGACGTTGTTTGGCCGAAGCTCAGAGCAAGCCGGCTCCAACGCAGCTCTCAGTTCCCCATCTCTCCCATTCTCACTCTCCCTTTGCCTGCTTTCTCCCCATATACCTACCGAGTTGGCCTAAACTTAATTTATTCTGTCATTGTAATTCCCATCTAATCCTGCCACCATGTCTACCTTGGAAGACCTTGACGACCTCGAGCGTGAAGAGAGAGAGAAGAAGGACCAGGGCGATGGCAACGACCGAAAGCCCGAAGGCGACGGAGATGCTGATATGAACGATGCTGATGCCAAGAAGAAAGAGGAGGAGGATGAACTTCTCGATGATGAGATTCTCTCTTCCAGCACAGCGGATATCGTCAAGAGGCGGCGAATGCTGGAGAACGAACTGCGTATAATGAAGAGCGAATACCAGCGGTTGACACACGAACAGAACACGATGAGGGAGAAGGTCAAAGACAATCAAGAGAAGATCGAGAACAACCGGTATGTTGCAGTCTACGTCGCTATGGGTTCACCTACTGTGTGCGCCGACTCGTGGCGATGGCGGTTCCCTACCCAGGCCTTCTTGCTGACCACAATTCATCTCTCAGGCAACTACCCTACCTTGTCGGAAACGTTGTTGAGCTCTTAGATCTTGATGTCGAAGCTGAAGCCGCCGAGGAAGGAGCTAATATTGATCTCGATGCTACCCGTGTCGGCAAGTCCGCTGTCATTAAGACCTCTACCCGTCAAACCATCTATCTGCCGTTGATCGGTCTTGTGGATCACGAGAAGCTCAAGCCCGGCGATCTCATCGGTGTTAACAAAGACTCATACCTTGTCTTGGACACACTACCAGCTGAGTATGACAACCGGGTTAAGGCCATGGAGGTTGACGAGAAGCCGACGGAGAAGTACACGGACATTGGTGGTTTGGACAAGCAGATTGAGGAGATTGTCGAGGCTATCGTTTGGCCAATGAAGGAAGCCGATCGGTTCAAGAAGCTTGGCATCAAGGCACCGAAGGGTATGTGATTCGTGTGAAATCTGGAGGGCTGGAAGTTATGCCGTACTAACTTGGTTCCAGGTGCTCTGATGTACGGACCCCCCGGTACCGGTAAAACCCTTCTTGCCCGAGCCTGCGCCGCCGAGACGAATGCCACATTCTTGAAGCTTGCCGGTCCTCAGCTGGTACAGATGTTCATCGGTGACGGTGCTAAGCTTGTTCGCGACTGCTTTGCCCTTGCTAAGGAGAAGGCCCCCTCGATCATTTTCATTGACGAGCTGGATGCCGTTGGTACCAAGCGTTTCGACTCCGAGAAGTCCGGTGACCGTGAAGTGCAACGAACCATGTTGGAGCTTCTCAACCAGCTCGACGGTTTTGCCTCCGATGATCGTATCAAGGTCCTCGCGGCCACGAACCGCATTGATGTGCTGGATCCGGCCTTGCTCCGTTCCGGTCGTCTGGACCGCAAGATCGAGTTCCCCTTGCCCAACGAGGAAGCTCGCGCCAACATTCTACAGATCCATTCCCGCAAAATGGCCGTGGATGATGGGGTCAACTGGGCGGAACTGGCTCGCAGTACCGATGAATTCGGAGGTGCGCAGTTGAAGGCTGTATGTGTGGAAGCTGGTATGATTGCTCTTCGTAAGGGCATGAGTAAGGTGGGACACGAGAACTACGTCGATGCCATCTCGGAAGTACAGGCGAAGAAGAAGGACACCAACATGGGCATCTATGTTTAAGAACATCTTATCTTCTTTGCGTCACGATAAATTCCACGATGTTACTTTACCTCTTGTATTCTGCCTCAGTAATTACTATGTGATGGCCTCCTGTTCATCAAAGCAGGGCGCTAATCATACGAAGCAAAAATTGCCATTATCAAGCAGCGTCGTCACCACACGTCCTTATTTAAGTCGTAATAGCCACTAACGCTCCAACCTTTCTTGTCCATCTCAACTAGAGAGTGTGTTCCTCTATAAAGCATGTTCTCATCCTCGTTGCATTCTTCCTTGTCGGGGTCCTTCACAGCACTATCCACCCCTGCGTCTCGGCGATATCACCAGGCGGTATCAAAAGGTCAAGATGGACCGGACAGCAGTCGAAATCGCAGTTGTTTCGTTCGGGAGTTTGTTCATCAATACACATAGACTAATAGACGTTCTGGACTAAGGCAAGCTCGATGATACTGGGCGCCGCAAAATCATTGATCCGGGGCTCCTCCGCGGCTTTGCTCCGCCTTTAGTTTTTCTGCGGGTCAAGAAAAAGTCCTACTTTCGATCCAGACATCCGGGGATTAAGATCCATCCTTAGTGATTATTTCCCTCGTAAATCTCATTTCACATCATTTTTCACCATGGCGAAGGCACGCACCAAGAAGCGCACCCATGTTCGCGCGACAAATGCCACGGCTGCTGCCAAAGGCGGCGCCTCGTCTATGAGCAAAACACCCAAGTCGATGGTCATTCGAGTTGGCGCTACACAGGTCGGCTCCAGCGTCAGCCAGCTGGTCAAAGATGTGCGGACGATGCTTGAGCCCGATACGGCTGTGCGCTTGAAGGTACGTTAACAATCGGTCGACTTTTCGCAGACGATGGCCAGCAGGGATTGTACAAGATCGACTTCTTTTTGTTTTTTCTTGCTAATTGTCACCAGGAACGCAAATCGAACAGACTTCGGGATTTCACAACAATGACCGGCCCTCTGGGCGTGACCCATCTTCTTCTTTTCTCCAAATCCGCCACGGGCAACACGAATCTGCGGTTGGCGCTCACCCCCCGAGGGCCGACCCTGCATTTCAAGGTGGAGAATTACTCTCTGTGCAGAGACGTCGAGAAGTCGTTGAAGCGCCCGCGCGGCGGTGGCCAGGACCACAAGACGCCTCCGCTGCTCGTGATGAACAACTTCAACTCCCCCGGCGCAGACGAGAACTCCAAAGTACCGAAGCGCCTCGAGAGCCTGACCACGACCATTTTCCAATCGCTCTTCCCTCCGATCAACCCCCAAGCTACCCCTCTCACCTCCATCCGTCGTGTCATGCTCCTGAACCGTGAGCTCGCCCCCGAAGGCGAAGAACAGGACTCCTATGTCCTCAATCTCAGACACTATGCCATCACGACGAAGAAGACCGGTATCTCGAAGCGTATCCGTCGTCTCGATCCCAAGGAAATCCGGAACAAGGAGAAGAAGAAGACCGCCGTGCCGAATCTTGGAAAGCTCGAGGATGCCGCAGACTATCTGCTCGATCCCTCGGCGGCAGGCTACACGTCTGCTAGTGAAACTGAAATGGATACGGACGCGGAGGTGGAGATCGCAGAGAGCACCACCCGGAAGGTTCTCACGAAACGTGAACTGCAGCGGATGAAGGCTGGCGACAAGGAGAAGGCACAGAAGAAGTTGAGCAACGGCCCCGGGGTCGAGAAGCGGGCGGTCAAGCTGGTTGAGCTGGGCCCGCGCATGAAGCTCCGGCTGCAGAAGGTTGAGGAGGGCTTGTGTGAGGGCAGAGTCATGTGGCACGATTTCATCTCGAAGTCTGAGGAGGAAGTCAACAAGCTGGACAAGAGCTGGGATAAGAAGAAGAAGGAGAAGGAGGAGAGAAAGAAGCAACAGCGGGAGAACATTGAGAAGAAGAAGGCCGAGAAGGCTAAAGCCAAGGCCAATGGCAAGGAGGTTGAAGGTGATGATGACGAGGACGTTGACATGAGCGACGAAGACTGGCTCAGCGACGATTTCGACGAGGATGATGAGAATGTGGTGCAGGATGAGGATGACGAGGAAGAAGAAGAGGAGGAGGAGGAGGAGGGAGAAGAGGAGGATGGTGACGAGTCTATGGATGAGTAAATCTCCTTTGCCATCCATAAATACGATGTTCTTTGAGTCGTCAGCCATCACGAATATTGGCTGCCACACGGCGCTTCCAGGCTTGCCAGTCCCCTTCACACCCTTACCTTCACCATGCTGGATAGCTTCTAACACGTCTGCGACGTGCCAATGATCCCATGCAAACAATTCCAGCGCATTGCATCATGTCAAATGCTCATGGCCATGCCCCTAGTATGGTGCACATGAGTTGTTATACATTATGCAGATTTCGATGCATGTGGTCGGCTTGTTGGAGAAACGGAGCAGTTGATGGGAAGGAACTCAATTCGTCCGTACATCGAACGCCAGTATTACTATTCATTATTTGTTTGATGGAAAGGAAAAAGTTATGTACCCTATGGTTCGTTAGGAGTTTCAAAATTATACCCACGATTTCTGGTTGCACATGCAGCAGCAAGAGCCCTGGACGAAGTCAAAATAAAGCATTATCATCATCCTTAGTATCATCAAAAACTACGTAAAGCTCATAACCCATCATCGATACAACAGGAACTTCTCTTTTTCTTTTATGCTTTCATATCATCGAAAGGAAATCTACCGCTTCAACTTCTCATCCACAATCCTCGACACCATCTTCTCCAGCATGCTGAAATCGCCGCCCGCCGACGCTGCCGACCCAGCAAAGTACGCCTGCACGCTCTTCTCCACGTACTTGCCCACGATATCGATCTCGACGTTGACGTAGTCGCCGGGCTTCTTGGCCGCCGTGACGATCTTCTCCTGGGTGTACGCGATGAGCATGACCTCGAAGTAGCCCTCGGCGCCATCCACGACCTTGGTGACCGTCAGGCTGGCGCCGTCCAGCGTGACGTAGCCCTTCTCGACGATGTAGCGCATGACCCTCTGGTCGCGCGGCTGGAAGCGGAACACGAGCGCGTTGCTGTCCGGCGTCACGGAGAGGATCTGCGCGATCGTGTCGACGTGGCCCTGCACGAAGTGCCCGCCCATCCGCGTCTCGCCCAGCACCGCCCGCTCCAGGTTCACCTTCGACCCCGTCTGCAGGGCGCCCAGGTTCGTGCGGCGCAGGGTCTCCGGCGCGACGCCCACTTTGAACCACGTCTTATCGAAGGCGGTCACCGTGAGGCATGTTCCTGTTTTTTTTTTAAGAGGGGGTTTTGTGTGAGTCTCGTTTTCTTCTGTGCGGTTTTTGTGTGTTAATGTGTTCAATGCCCCGCGGTGGGGGAGAGGGGGATTGCGACCAGCTAGGACGGTGGGAGGGTGGGGGAGGTGTGTGACGGAGAGAAGAGGGGAACGGGAAAGGAAGAGGGATTCGCAAAGGTGTATGTTCGGTGACGATGATGACGGTGGAAGGAGGGGTGGAGGTGGTTATGTACCATTGACAGCTATGCTATCGCCGAGATGCGCATCGACGAGGATCTCCTCACAATCGGTAATGGTCAGCGAGGTTCCCCCGCCCCCGCTTGACGAGGTATCGAGGGGCTCGAGGGACGAGACCGCTAGAAAGTAAGGGCACCATAGTCAGTTATAGAACGGGCATACAGTATACAGACAGAAACTGACTTCCAATCTTCTCAACAAGACCCGTGAACATGGTGACAGAATGGCAGGGAGTAGACAAACCGAAGCCGGCGGGCGGATCGAGCGGAATTGAAGATCACAGAGAGAAAGTCGCGAAGCGGGAGGAAAGCGGGTTGACCTCGGCTTGGGGGCCGATCCCGCGCCGCCGCTCGGTCATGGCGGCCGATAAGTTAGTTGGAAGCTGTACTGTACACAGTGCTTTTTCGGTTCCTTGCTTCTGTTCGTCTTTTTATTCTTCCAAGATTGTGGACGACAGTTATTTTGACATTTATTTTGCTTTTAAAAACTCTTATCTCCTCCCTCAACCATTGAGAATGAATCCGATAATCTCCTCGAAGGTGCCGCGAGCCTTCATTGCGCGCCGGCCGCTCAACCATACATACCTCTATCTATCAAGGAGCAACCGATCATGGCGCACTTACTCGACTGCACTTTCAGATGATACCCTGCCTTTGAAAGGCATTAGGGTTCTAGACATGACGAGAGTTCTGGCTGGTGTGGGTATCATGCAATTGACCTTCCACAGGCTTGTGTTGACATCTCATGCAGCCATACTGTACACAAATCCTGGGAGACCTGGGGTATGCTGCCGCTGCTTTCAGTGCTTCACGCCACATACAATACTGACCATATCTGGTCTTCTACAGAGCAGACGTTATCAAGGTAGAACACCCAACACGCGGCGATGACACTCGTGCTTGGGGACCACCATACGCCAAGTACACTGACGGGTCAGAAGGGCCCGGAGAGAGCGCTTACTACTTAGGAGTAAGTCACGCATCAGAAGAAATGCCTGGATGTCAAGCAATTAACATCTGGCTCAGGTGAACCGCAACAAGAAATCCATCGGCTTATCTTTTGCTCATAAATCCGGAGTGAAGATTCTACATCGTCTTGCCAAAGAGTGCGACGTGTTGGTGGAGAACTATCTTCCTGGCAGCCTTAAGAAGTACAACATGGATTACGAGACCCTGAAAGCTATCAACCCCCGACTCATCTACGCTAGTATCACAGGCTACGGCCAGACTGGGCCGTACAGCAACCGCGCCGGGTACGATGTCATGGTCGAGGCCGAGATGGGCCTGATGCACATCACTGGCAGTAGGGAGGGGGAGCCGGTCAAGGTCGGTGTGGCTGTGACGGATTTAACCACTGGTCTTTACACGTCTAATGCTATCATGGCGGCATTGATTGCTCGGGGGCGGACGGGGAAGGGGCAGCATATCGATGCATGCTTGAGCGATTGCCAGGTCGCGACTTTGGCAAACATTGCAAGCTCGGCGCTGATCAGTGGGAAGAAGGACTCTGGCCGGTGGGGGACGGCACACCGTAAGTGTTCGCAGCGAAGTAGTGCTACCTGGATTGTGCGGTCTTACTGATCCCCGCACTGCATAGCATCCATTGTGCCCTACCGAAGTTACAAAACGCGTGACGGCGATATCCTCTTTGGCGGCGGGAACGACAGATTGTTCGGCGTTTTATGCGATCGCCTAGGTTATCCGGAATGGAAGACCGATCCCCGGTTTGTCACCAATAGCGACCGAGTGAAACACCGAGAGGAAATTGATGGGTTGATTCAGCAAAGAGTGAAACAAAAGACGACGCAGGAATGGCTGGAGATATTGGAAGGAAGCGGGATGCCGTATGCCGCTGTCAACGACATCCAAGGAACACTAAATCATGCTCACGGTGAGACCATTTTCTCCCAAGCGCTTGTTCGCCTTGAATGACGACTCTGACTCTGGGATATAGTCCAAGCACGAGGTATGGTCACTGAAATTAATCATCCAGCCTGCGGACCCATCAAGCTGGTGAACACACCGATCAAATATTCTCATGCAACCCCTGGTGTTCGTACGCCGCCTCCGACTCTAGGGCAGCACACTGACGAGATTCTGGCCGAAGTACTCGAGTATGGTAAGGAGGAAATAGCTCAGTTGAAGCAGGCAGGTGTAGTGGCATAGACGTGTTTTGAATTAAGACAAACCGTCGTTGGGCTAGTGGTGGATTACCCTAAGGTGATAAGGGAGGAGTAAGTGTGTGGTCCGGTCCGTAAGGAGGGTTCGCCTCTAGAATACAATACATGGTTAGTTTTCGCGCAGCTGTCGGCTGAGCCGCATTGAGATGTAGCTTCGCAAAGCCTTAGAAATGCAAAACACAGTCAGATGCTAATGCCGTCAAAACGACCTGATGGCTGGAGATATTGCAGGCATTGCATCACAAAATATGGGTTGGCAACGAATGCAGTCAGTCGGTGCCTTCCAAGGGCGCGGGGATGAATTCCTAGCGATCACGTGATAGTATATAAATCTGGATCCGTTCATGATGGCCTTTTCCTGATTCACCCGTGGCAGCATTGATACATATCTCGGGCTCATCAAAGAGCACCTTGCCGTTGCAGCGTGAGTGTGCTCGACAGGGCAGATCCGGGGGGATATGTCACAGCAAAATGGGGGTTCTGCCTCCCTGGCGTCTGTAGAGACAGCGCCACCCACCCACGCATTTCTGCGCACTACCACTACCACTACTTCGGGTACGCATTCATCAGCGCCCTCACTCCAGCCTATCGCTGATTCATCCTCAGCATTCTCCTCGTCGAACACGACCCGATCCTCGAGTACGCCGTCGAGAAGGGTGGAGATACCGCCTCTTTCAGCGGCCACAACCGAGTTACTCGCACGAGTCAATGGAAGTCTAAAGGGCACAGAGCAGAGATATGGTAACAAATCCATCGGTTGGAACCCTCCAACTGGAAATCGATTTGTTGGAAACAACTTGAACGGTCCTCGCACAGGCACTATGAGGGCCTCTTCGATTATCATCGAATTGCCTACGGCACCATTCACGTATGCGAACAATGGGGTGTCACCTGCGGCTTCCTCGAGTACTATTACCCGCGGATCTCCTGTGGATCTTCCCCGGGGCCCGAACAATATTACACCTAATCCATCACCAGTGCCTCCACCTGCGGCTTCCCCAAGTATTGCTACCCAGAGATCTCCTGTGGATCCTCCTGGGGGCCTGATCAGTATTGCACCGAGACCATCACCAGTGCCTCCGACTGCACCAACAGATGGAATACCTGAAGTATCATCCAATGGCCCTGTATTAGCGCCGCCGCCGCCGCCAGCAGCAGCAGCACCACCACCGGCGGTGGCATCTTTACCACTATTACAGCCTCGGACAACCGTCTCGAATGCCAAACCTTTATCTACAGCAAGCTCAATCTCTAAGTCTAAAAGGCCCACGACAGGAGGCTCCCGTAACAGGAAGAATATCACGAATGGAACCAAGAACAAGAAGCGCCGCCGCAACAAGGACAGTGACGAAGAAAGCGTCATCCGGGCCGGTGATTCCAGCAGCGACGAATCCGATGTTGCCCCGACAGCAACCCAGACAAAGTCTGGCCGACAGGTCAACCGACCCTCCTTGTATGTGCCTCCGCCTTCATTGCCGGCTGCTGCCAAAGAGACAAGCAACTCATTTGAGACGTCGGACAACACGCGTGGTTCCACGACGGCAACAACTCGGAAACGTAAGCGCGTTCAACGCAAAGCGAAGGATGGTAACATCACTTGTACCCGATGCCAGAGGGGCCATAGCCCTCTGACCAACGCGATTGTTTTCTGCGATGAATGCAATGGGGCCTGGCACCAATTATGCCACGATCCTCCCATCAGCGTGGAGGTTGTCACCGTTCAAGAGAAAGAATGGTTCTGTGGGGAATGCAAGCCTGTGCCGATTACCATTGTTCAGCCAACAGTTGTCAGGAGCAATCCGTTCCTTGCGAAAACACAGCCAACCCCTATTTCGACTTCTTCCTTGATAGTCCCTCGAGCTGAAGTAAGCGCGGGGGGCTACTCGGTCGAAGAACGCCGAGGGTTCCTATCGGGCTTGTCGCATGCAACACTTGTTGAGCTTCTTATGAACATATCGGAAGGTAATCGAAACCTGCCAATGTTCCCCGCTAATTTGAAGGACTACCAGTCATCAAACTTCTCAGTCTGTCCTAGCTCGTCAGCCGTGACGAGTACTTCTACTTCCGTTCAAGGATCTGTTCTGCAGACAAATGGCCTGGGGGCCTCTGCGGCCACCTCGGCGGAAGAATCAGCTAGACCACCAACCGCATCTGCACCGGATGTCTCGACTACTTCATCTCACCGAAGGAGATACGAAGAGTCTTCTGATGAAGAACCAGAGTATGAGTTTCAGGAGCATCGTCTATATCCACGCGCCGGCAACGGCTTCCGGCTGCCTGTTGGGCTGGATGACTTGGACATCCTCAGCGAGGATCCTGCTTGTTCAACGTTCAGCTATTCGTTGCATGGGCCTGCTCAAATCCGCGCTCAAATGAAACAGAACGTGCCAATATGGGGCTCGTGAATATGGCTTCTATGTGTATTACTATCATTAGGCCTTTCATCCTTCGCCTTCTGTGTACGATCAATATTCTCTGATAGATATTCTAGATTTGTTCTTCCGTTGGGAACGAGACTTTGGGAATAGAGTGCGTGCAATTCACTCAATGCGCCCCGATTTATGATGATCAGACTTCGTTGGTGCTTGTCTTCGCTCTTCGCTCTTCGCTCTTACACTGGAGATGCCTCGTTTTTCTACTCAAAGTGAGGCGAGTTCCTTCCTGCAGGATCTCCAGCGTGCCACACGATACATGATGTGGGATATTAGAAGCAAGGCGAAGAAATATTCAGGCGACCACTCGATATCGCACGCCTGCTCATCTTCGCAGGTGGGTCCCAAACAATGCCTGCGATACCATGCCGAGGCCTCATTGCCCCGCAGCCTGTTTCATCGACTTCGTGGAACAGCAGGATATCCGCACAGCTGTCACATTTTAACTCAAGGCCAGTGTCATGTGGTGACAGCCCGATTGCTGCACGAGCGCGTGTCGAGACACATTCATACAAAAGTTCAGCATGCGCCTGGGTTCCAGCTTGATAGATCCCCACCCCCAGGCAAGCTAACAACAGCGGGTCCTCGGAACCCCATGGCGTGAACGCGTTGCCAACATTGTTGATCCCGATCACAGCGTCTAACTTGTGCTTTTCAATCATGTCCACTACGGGCAAAGTCCCTCGCGGTTGATCTGCACTACCTCGGTTCGGGGATGAAGCCATGTATAGATCACTCGTGGGCAGCCCAACGAAACTAACAGGGAGATCATGATCCTTAATTTCTTTCGCAAGCCTCGTCCACTCGTCATGGGTAAACAGGGTGAGCCGCGTACAATGCCCTAGCATAACCCGCTTGGGCGTCGACTGGGCTGACCAGCCCTTTTCTCTGAGTGTCCGCAGGACAAACCAGACTAGGGCCTCTGTTGCCGGGTCGAGGTTGTAATCCAGGTGAAAGTCCACGTGTTTGCCGTATTCCAGACCGCGTTCAACGGCCCATTCGATGTTCCGCTTCGCAGCTTCAACGGTCGATTCCACATACGGTGTTGTGCCAATCACATCCACCTGCGGCCATCGGATTGCCTCTTCCATCAGCCGTCGGTTCTCCTCGCCATGCTCGCCCGAGAATATGGGATCTTGTGCGAAGCTCACTAGCTGGACCGTACAGGCGTTCTTCCATGTCTCCTTGAGAGTGGTGCCGGCGTCCAGGCAAGTGAACCCGACCGTCTGGTCCACTTCCACAAACGCGCGCATCGCCGTGACCCCCGCGGTGACAGCCCCCGCCAGGAGCCATTCTCCACGCTTCAGAAGATCGGCCTGGATGAACTGTCGCTTGGCTTGGGTGGTGAAGGATAGCGCTTCGGCAAACGAGCCACTGGAGGGGAGGAGATGCGCATACTCTCGCGCGTTGTGGATGTAGGCCTTGTCGAGGTGGATGTGCGGGTGCGTCAATGCGGGGAGGGCGAGTGGTGCGCGGCAAGCTGCGGTATCGGACTCGCCCTTGTGCGGGGTGATCGATTGGATAATGCCTTGGTCGTTGTCAATGGACATGTCCCAGGTCGAGTCTGATCCGGGCAGACGGACGTTCTCGATTATCGGCACCGGCTTCAGAGTTGGTGGTGGCATGGTGTAGAGTGGGTGGGCGAGGAGCGAGGATCGAAATAGTTACAATGTATATTCTCGAGTGGCTGTCGCGGCAAGTCGCAGAATGGCTGTGTAGACTACCTCGATTATAGAAATTCACGTTCACACTTTAAGACAAGTCAGTTGCCTGACAAAGACTCGATATTGTCTTGCGAATAAGAAGATTCTCGCAATATGTAGTAGTTAGCTTGCGATTGTCAAACAATCCACAACCCAAGAGCAGCAGCCCCACCAGCCCACCCACCAGCTTATCGTCCCCCGATTGCAGTTGCAGCGCACCCGGGCCAGTTCTCCTACCTTCTTCTTCGGGGGCTTGCTACATTTCCTCACAACTACAATTGCGCGCGTCGCAGCCACATCCAACGGATAGAGCCTGCTCAGCTGTACATCAAGGTACTGTACCTTCATATAGCTGCAGTGCTATGTCCCTACCCCCTAGACCCAGTTGTCCACAAAGCTAACCCAACCAATCAAGCATCCCAGCCCCAGCCCTCGGCGCTTCCACCATCATCCATCTCATCTCAGCAATCGATCATGAACACGCCGCGCTAACAAGACTACTTACTTCCTCCCTTAAACCCTTCCCCAGCAACCCATCACCCAAACCACCTAATCCAAAGAAAAATTCTCACCCAACAATGTCCGACCCCAAACCACAACCCCAACCACCACGCCGTATCCTAACAACCCCCGACCCCAACTCCAACCCCAAGATCCCTCCCCCCTCCTCCGACCAAAATACCCATGCCCGTCCGCACGCGATAACCCTGGACCTACTCCTCACCGTCCTCTCGCGCACGCTCTTCCACCCCTTCATCGCCTGGATCCTCGTGCTCTGCCTCCGCGCCCAAGCCACGCCCTACACCGCGCCGGCGTTCCTCGTCGCCACGGGGTATGCGATATTCCTTTCCGCTCTGAATGTGTTGCAGAGCGTGAACGACCGGTTCGCGTACGGGAAGCCCCGGCGCGTGGATCTGAGTGAGGAGGTGGTTGTGATCACGGGCGGGGCGAGCGGGTTGGGGTTGTTGATTGCGAGGATCTATGGGTTGAGGGGGGTGAGTGTGGCGGTGTTGGATGTGAAGGGGGCGAAGGAGGTGGAGGGGATGATGGAGGGGATGGATGATGCCGTGGGGTATTATCGGTGTGATGTTGGGGATCGCGGGGCGTTGGAGGAGACGGTGCGGAGGGTGGAGATGGAGGTATGTTTTTTTTCTCTCTCTTTTTCTTCCTACGTATGAATGTGTGGAAGGGGGTGAGGGTGGGCTATACATGCTCTACGAGGGTGGTACTGGTTTGCTGACATGTTTTTTTTTTTCTTGTTTTCTAGCTGGGAACTCCGACAGTACTGGTTCATTGTGCGGCCGCTCGTATCAACGGTCAATCGCTCCGAGATGTCCCCGCGGAAGCGTTCCAGAAAACCATCCGGACCAACTTGCTCGCGGCCTTCCATGCCTACCAGGTCTTCCTGCCGCGGATGCTGTCCGCCGCCACGGGCGGGACCATCGTCACCGTCAGTTCGGTTCTGGGCCAGCTGTGCGCGGCGGGGCTGGCGGACTACTCGGCCAGTAAAGCCGGGCTGAGCGCCGTGCATCGCACTCTGGAAGCGGAGCTCCGCGCGTCCGGTGACGATGACAAGGTGAAGATGATCCTCGTGGAGCCCGGGCAGATCTCCACGCCGCTTTTCCAATCGGTCCAGACGCCCAACCGCTTCTTTGCGCCCGTCCTCGAGCCGGTCCACGTCGCGCAGGAGATCGTGTCCGCGATCGACAGCGGGAGAGGCGCTGTGATCCGACTGCCCACCTTTGCGATGCTGGTCAACTGGTATGCCGTGATGCCGGCAGGCCTGCAACGCTTGGCGCGGTATATGAGTGGGATCGACAGCGCCGTCGCGCAAGCCTCCTTGCCTCAGAAGAACCCGCCAGCCACCAGTGCGCCGCTGACTGGACAACCACAACAGCAGTGCGAGCCGCTTTCCGTAGACAAAGACTGATGTAATGATGGGGCGGAGGGATCGGACAGTCATAGATGAATATTTCAAGGATGTGGGACCAGCCACGCGATGTATATAATCGAGACAGATTCTTCCACTCAGGCGAGAGCGCAGAGCATAAGACTGCCCAGACAATGTCCCAAGGCGAGCAAGGACCCAGGAGAAAGCGCACGATATATGATGGAGCCCGATCTACTGCTCCCGGGCTAGGATCATCTTCTCGCGCTCGCTCTGTCTCTTCTTCAGGTTCTCCTTCTTGGTGTGCTTCCGGACGTTCTCCTCGCGTCTCTTGATCGCGTTCAATTCCTCTCTCTTGATCTCGCGGGCCTTCTTGATCGGCTTGGGGACGTGGCGCTGGCGCCTGATTCTCTTGATCTCGGGCATGTGCTGGTATCTCTGAATCAAAGCTTGGTCGTACTCGAGCTTGGTTCGCTGACGGGCACTCTTGATGCCACTGCGATCGGAAGCATTGGCACGCCACAGGCGAACGTTTCCGTCGTCGGAGCCCGACAGGATGTACTTGTTGTCGGGGGTGAACTTAGCAGAGAAGACACTGCATGAAGATGTTAGTGAAAAAAGTCAAAAGAACCAAGACATGGGGTGTGTGTGTTAACGTACCGTTGCATGCGCTGTGTGTGGTAGATGTCGCGAGAGTGGCCGGTGGCCCGGTTCCACAAGCGCACCGTCTTGTCGTAGGAGGCCGTGACCAGCTCCTGACCAGTTGGGCTGAAATCCACATCCATCACAGCAGCAACGTGATCTTTGAGAACGTTCAATGCGCGGTCCATCTTCCTCATGTCGAAGAGGTAGACGTTGTGGTCCTCATTCGCCACGGCAAAGTTGAACGCTTCCATTGGGTTCCAAGAAATCGCGTTCGACGCCAGGCGGAGAGTCATCTTCGCGAGAGGCGACGAGGTGCGCAGGTCGTACATGATGATAGAGCGATCGATACCGGTAGAGCCGATAATGGAGGTTTCTGTCTGGTTGAAGGCAATCGAGGTGATCGTGTCCACGTTCGTAGGCCAGTGAAGGGTCTGAGACGGCGTGGAGGAGGGGCGAGAGAGATCGTAGATCGAGATTTGGGACGACGCGGCAGCGAAGTGGGGGAGATCACGGTGATGCGTGACGGAAGTGAATGCACCCTGCCCAAGATAGGTGGCTAGTGGCGGGGCCTCGGAGGAAGAGTTATATGGGTCAAAGAGTTTGACGGTCTTGTCGCTGGCGCAAGAAAGCAGCTTCCGGTCGGGGGTCCAGCATACACCCTTGACAATATTGTCATGCGCCTGAGTCTCCCACACTTCTCCCTGCGTAGTCAAATCCCAGACCTTGATCACACCATCACCGCTGCCACTGGCGAACCGTTCCAGAGAGCCTGGATCCTTGGCCAATGTGTACACACCGTCCACATGACCGTCGCCCAGTTGGCCCAAGAAGGGCGCAGCAAACAGACGCTCTAGTTTGGTAGCATTCAGAGCGCGAGTGTATTCTCGGGCGCGCTCAAAAGGATGTTGTGCCGGGTCGAGGTTTCGAGGCTGTCGAACGACAGCACTTCCCGGAGCCTGCTGAGAGGAAGTGGGACGAGAAAGAGCTTTGATTTTCTGTAGGGTATATGTTAGTGACTGTCCGATTGAGAGATATAGCGATCCAAACCAGGAATACTCACCATGGCGCTCTCACAAATTCCTTGGGACCGAAACGTGAAAAAGAGAAATTCGAGTCGGACATAAAATTTCTGGTAATCTTTTTTCCATCGGCGGGCGGGTTAAGGCCGATTGTGGTTGGCTCGCCAAGCCGCGGGCGGTGAGAGCGGCAGCTGCAGCTCGGCCTGCGAGTGACGATAGCCAAACCTGTAAGCTTCCTGTCCTCCATCGTCCACTATACCCTCCTCATCTCATCTCCCATCGGCTTCTTAGCCTTCCTCACACATTGCGCTGATAGATACCTACTCATTGGCTCTACCTTGTCACTACTTGTTCCGACCTTCGCCTTTTCCTACCCACCACAGCACCGTCTTCAGCCATGGCGCCCTCTCCGACAACTGCTGGGCGGATAGAGGAAGCCCGGACTCTTGCAAAGAACGACCCTGCCAAAGCTGAAAGCACCCTCAAGGAGATTCTCTCTAAAGGTCCCGGCTCGACCGAGGCCTCGTCGCGGGATTATGAAAATGCCCTGGTCTCGCTGGGAGAGGTTTACCGGGACCAGAAGAAGCCGCAGGACATTGCCGAACTGATCAAGACAAGCCGTGATTCCTTTTCTTCATTCGCCAAGGCCAAGACAGCCAAGCTGGGTAAGATAATATCTTCGGGTTGAATATGCGTGCACAGAAAGCTGACGGTTGTTGTTCATCTCAAAAGTCCGCCAGCTGCTGGATCTGTTCAGTGAGATCCCGAACACCCTCGATATTCAAGTTGCCGTCATCAAGTCCTGTATCGACTGGGCCGTCGCAGAGCGGAGATCATTCCTTCGCCAGAACCTTGAAACCCGGCTGGTGGCCATTTATATGCAGAAACAAACCTACTACGATGCTCTCACCCTCATCAACTCTCTTCTCCGCGAGCTGAAGCGCTTGGACGACAAGCTCATGCTGGTCGAAGTACAGCTGCTGGAGTCGCGCGTCTATCATGCATTGGGCAACCAGGCCAAGGCACGTGCTGCCCTGACGGCTGCCCGTACATCTGCCGCCTCGGTCTACACTCCTCCCAACCTACAAGCCGGCCTGGACATGCAGAGCGGTATGCTCCATGCAGAAGATAAGGACTTCAACACATCGTTTTCGTACTTCATCGAGGCGCTGGAGGGTTACAGCTCTCTCGATGAGGGCGAGAAGGCAACAGCTGCTCTCCAGTACATGTTGCTGTGCAAGATTATGTTGAACTTGGTGGATGATGTCACGAACTTGCTGGGATCTAAGCAGGCTCAGAAGTATGCTAGCCCGCGATTGGAGGCCATGAAGGCCGTGGCACGTGCTCATGCGGACCGGTCCCTTGAGCAGTACGAGAAGGCTTTGTCGGACTACAGATTTGAGTTGGGTAGTGATGCGTTCATCCGCAACCACCTTCGCAGATTGTACGATGCCATGTTGGAGCAGAATCTCATCAAGGTCATCGAACCCTTCAGCCGAGTTGAGCTCGACCACATTGCCAAGATGGTGGGACTGG